ATAGACCCACTTATAATTGCTTTGGGAGACTCTGACCTCAATGACTTTTTTTCCAAATATGATGAAGTGGCTGATTTCAGATAAAAAAGAGAGCTTTAATGTCATGTAAAAGACAAAGGACATTATAAGAGAACAACTCCTTTGATCTCAGCTCAGCCACAGGGACCAGGACACTGTTTCAAACTGTGTGAGGGACAAGGGGACTCGCCAGGGTCACAGCAAAGCAATAGGCTGCACGCCAGGCAGAGAAACTTCCACTAGCCAAGAGCCAGCTCACTGTCCTCTTCTCCAGAACAAAGTAACTCTCAGCCAACAAAATCCAACAGCATCAAACAACTTTATGAACATTCTTGGCTGTTGGCACAATCTAATGAGGTAATTAAACAGAAAATCTAGAAGAACAGAGACACAAATTTCTCAGTTCATAAAACCTTTGTATTTATTCTCCAGTATATTGCCTGAGGAAATATCAATCAAGTTAGCAAAAGTGATAGCAAAAACATTGATTGATAAAATTTTTGTAAAACTAATGCATACTTACTGTGACTCATTGTTTAAGATGCCTTGACTGGAACGCATTATGTTTACTTATGTGACTCCTTCAGTTTTCCTTTTCAAAAACCTCTCCAGTATAAAGACTTCTAGAGTCACAGTGCTGGCTCCCTGAAAGGTCTAGCTAGTACACTACACAGTGCCAGGTACTCAGCAAAAACAGTAAAAAGGATTAAAGAGTACAAGAACATACACCATGTCCTGAACAAATCTGGCTGTCTGTAGTGCCTGGGCAGGTGCTGAAGTTGAAGGCCTCGGTGGGGAGGCAGCGATGGTCGAGGCACACCATGTTTGGCCCACATGGTGTCCCATTCTCCACGTAGCCCAGGTCTGTCTCCTCATCGAGCTTCACATGGCCACCACTGCAAGACAACCAAGAGGACCTTCAAGACTTGTGCTGTGATTAGATGGGATTGCTTGAGAAACTTTGCTCTGGATTGCTGCCTTTATTTCTGTCTGCATTATACAACACCAAGGACCAGGTAAGACTAAGTATTAGCTTAATTATCTCACTGGTCCTAACATGAAACAAACCAAAACATAGTATACCTACATCAAATAAATGCATTGGTGAAAACAAAGACCGTTTTCCTGTGAAAGAGCTAGAGTTAGATGAAACATTGAGTTTACTTTATTTCATCTTACAGTTGTGTGAAGCTCTAAAAACATACCATGTCTATAATTGGGGTTCAGCTAACATACAGCAATGTGTTAAGCTGCCAGTTAGCTCTGGCAGTGCAGGCATACGTCTACGTATTTGGAGTGCATTAAGTACTTTACAAACATTAAAGAATGTAAAATCAAGGGGCCATAGAAGAGCATTATGTCTCTATGGGCAAAATTAACTACTGCACAGAGGGGTCTGCAAAACAGTGGCACTCCCCACACTCAGTCAATTTCCTGAAGCTTAATAAAAGTTGAGCTGGAATAATGGTTATGCACTAATAGGATAAACAACTTTAATGGAAATGTTTTTTCTTCACTTAGGAGTGAGAAAGCTGCTTTTCTATGCAAGATGGATATTGATTGTTCTGTTTTCAGGATTTCCAATTACCTGCAATTGTAGACTTTTCCAAAGTGCAGGACTGATGTTGTGATCTCACCATCAAGTTCTCCAAGTCTGGGTACACTGGATATGTTGGAGCACAGAAGGTATCCACAAAGCACATCCCTGCATTGAAAGAATAAACGGATATGCATCAAAAATAAAATTCAATGAAGATGGATAAGCAAAATTATGAGGTTTTCTTCACTTGCTTTGTTATTCTTTGTTTTTTTGTCCACTGACAGACAGTCCCATAAATAGTGCTATTTCCCAAGAAAATTATTTTCCTTGGAGCTTAAATTGAGAAAACTCTTTTTCATAATGCAATATCAAAAATGTTTTGAGCAATAGCAAGCAGGGAGCTGTCAAGAACAAACTACATCATTTTGATTTCATGTCCTATTAAGATACAGTAACAGCTTTATGGAGGAGTAACAGTAGATACTGGTTTGAAATGAACTCTCATATGACATATATGTGAGGGAACTAGAGACAAGTTTAATTCAACTGCTGAAGGGACTTTACTACTCATGTGTGGAGACTTGTGCACTGTCAGAATAGTAGTGTCTGGCATCTCCCTTATTACTGAATATTTTTTACCTTTGAATTTGTTATGGAACAGAAGTTATCAAATCTGCACAGAAATGTGGGAAGAGACATTAGTTCACCTGTAGGCAGGACTAGAATTCAAACAGCATTGACAGAATGGAGAAATGTGAAAAAACAGGGTGCAGTTTGATAAGGACTGGTGAAAAGTTCAGAAAAAGGCAGAAATAATCAATTGCATAAATACAGAATGTGAAACAATGGTTTAGGCAGCAACTTACAGGAAAATATTCGGAAAGTTACAACACGACGAAAAAGGAACACAACTTAGCAATGCAGAGGCACAGCATAAAAGGTGAACACCACACCAAGACATGAAACTGCAGGCTGCTCTCCTCTGCACTGCTAAGCCTCCCTGAGAGTACTAGGACCACTTCTGCTACAAGTACTCCCAAGCTCAGACACTGCTCTCTTGCCAGAGACCATCTCCTCTCGACTCTGCTACCTCCAGGATTTCTTGCACAAAGGTCTGCAGAGAAGACCAGGGGAGACTAATCCACACAGAGGCCTTTTGAGCCTCTTCATGCCAGCCAATGAACTGCACCAGAGATAAAAAAACCTTATGCTATTTTTTTTTGAATGGACCAACTTACTGTTTATTGCACTGTATCCAAGAGTCCTTGTCTCTTCCGCAGTTTCCTTTCTCAGTCCCTTCAATATTCAGCTTCTCATAGCAGTACCTGTCAGCAGCCGTCACTTCTGAAAACAGAAACAAATCTCTTCTGAAAATCCAGGTCAGGGGAAATGGGGATGGACAATCAAAGCCAGCAGAGCTTCCCAATTTGTGAACTGAAGTTCCACGGCCTGCAGGTAGCCTGTGAAACTGCAGAGTTCTTCTCAATTAAAATCTTTATATTGGCAACACAGGACTGTTTTAAATTTTGTTCGCATTGATGAGAGTCCATTGGTCAAAATTATCCAGAAGCCACTAATGAACATGAGTATCGGCTCCCTAGGTGGTTACTAACGAGAGCTCAAACATAAGACTTCAGAATAATCACCAAGTTAACCAACACTAAAGAAAGAGCTGGAAAAGAGGATGGAAAGACAAAATGAGCAGGGAAAAGGGGAAGGGGTATATGGTTTTAGATGTTTCAGTGGTTCTGAATATGCCTCTTCCATAATTTCTCTTAGCTAGGATAATCTTTTGAGCCACATAAATGACAACCAACTTAGAAACAATAACATTCACTCACTTTCACCCCAGATATATTTACATTGCCGGTCCCTGGTTTTACATCTTCCTCCAAAACAAATACCCTAGAAAGAAATAAATACAGAAAAAGTTGATTTTCCAAAATAATAATTTTTTTTACTATAGAAATTTGTCAACTACTTTCTATTGAGACAACTAACATGTGACTCTACTTTTTTTTTCATTCCAAATATGACTAGCACCCAAAACTCATGAATGTTAGCAGAACTGTCCCAGGTGACTTCTAAAGATCTTAA